CAAACAAATTTCGCAATCCAAAAATGTGTACACACCTGTCGGAGTTTAGATATCGCATCGGTTGAAATAAAATCACCTTTTGACAGTCTTGATACAAAACACATAACTTGATATTGACTTTGGCCCCGCTCCTCTTCACCGAGCACAAGCGCTTTCAAAACTTGAACTTCCTGTTGATTAGAAATATTTTGTGTTCATTATTATGCACTTCACGCTTTTAGCTGGTCAGATTAATGACACATCACTTGTTTAAGCGTTTTCATTAGTTTTTAAGTACTTACATTTCGAAAATCTATCAGTTGTGTTACTAGTGTACCATCAGTGCGCTGGAACTCCAATATGATATAATCATCCAACAAGTTTGATGTTATTGTCTCCTGGATTACTTCTCCTCCCTGTTAATTCCACAAAAAATAAAATGTCTTACATCCGTAAGATGAACTTTTCCGCACTGTGATTCACAACATGCATTTATTACGTATCTTTTGCCGTAAATATGAATTCATGAGAAAACTGAATCTGATGTAAGTTTTGCGATACAAATAATTTTTGTTGGACTTTTCAATGCCTGTATGATATCATAATCATGTGAAAATTTGCAGATGTTATTTTTTTCACAAAAAGCTAACATTCCTAAAGTTTGAAGAAATTTCAATACAATTGAGTGGTATTTTTTGAGCAAAAAATCCAAAATTTTGTTCGGGAGGTATCTCTATTATGCATTGAAATCTCTTCAAACCCTCGGAATGTTATTTTAGAGTGAACAAAATAACCTGTGCAAAGTTTCAGCTCATTACGATATCATACAGGCATGGCTTCCATAAAAAAATCCAATGTTTTTCAAATTTTTGTATGAAAAGTGTGTCGAAATATTATTGTATCGCAAAACTAACGTCATATTCGGTTTTCTCGTACCCAAAAACCCCCAATACTTATTTTTGAGTGTTTAGGAATACAATAAATATCACTTTTGGAAGAAAAATTGAATTTTTCCCATGGATGCCCATGGGCATCACACCAGACATGACACTTTACTCTATCAATCAAATTCGCTCAAAATCTAATAGTTTCTATTCCTCGGCACCCCCAATCATCCTGTGAAGTCAGATTTTGAATTACTTTTCTTGTTTGAAAGTTATCGTGTTAACAAATTTTTGCGTACAGGATACAGGGTACAGGGTACGCACATACATTCGGTCATCGGAAAAACTCTAGATTCGTGTTCCCTGGCCCCAAAAACACCCAGAAAACACATTTTTGATGGGTGTTAATTTTTCGACCGATTCCAATACTTTACCTTACACACTAGGTGTGTGCGGAAAAGTAAAATGGTGTTAGTGTTTTGTGAAACAAGAACAAGTTTGACAATTTCAGCCGATTTCTGGAAATTTGGTTCCTAAACAAAATACACTTTTGTTTTTTCTTTCTTTTTATATGGCTTTAAATTCGAAACTGCAAATACAATGTTTCTCTCACTAAAAATAACATAAGATGAAAATTGTTTCATGTGGGATGTAAAACAAGTAATTAATGCAAGGATCGTAATTGCTGTTGCATATTTTGTCATTAAAAACTTCATCCCATCCAACAAATTTAATGACTAGCAACAATTGGAATGGTTTCTCATTAAAATGAAA